GGGGGCGGGGACTATGGTGGAGAGGCCTTGAGTATTTGCCTGACTTCCTTGACATGCCTTTCCTGGGGGGATGGTAGGCTCCCATACCCTCCAGTTCATCTATGGCTGTGAGCTGCAGGAAGATGGCAGGAAGAGCGGGCACTGGCAGTATGGCTATGACGGTGAAGATTACCTCATCTTGGATATGGACTCTGAGGAATACTTGGCAGCCTCATCCCCTGCCAGGTACACCACACAGAAGTGGAAGGCCTCTGGGAACAACATAGAACACGACAAGATCTATTTGGAGAATGAATGCATCTTGTGGCTGAAGAAATATTTGAAGCTTGGAAGGTACAATTTGAACTACACAGGTAATGATGTCGCCCAGCTCCCCTTCCCAGTATCCTCATGGCCCCATCAAGGCCCCTACTCTTCTCTCAGGGCCACCCCTGCACAGGGGTGTGGCTCTCTATTGTGGAGGGTGGGGCTCATGTTGAGGGTAACTGCCCTCTGGAGTCTCCTGGGCAGAACTCCCTGCTACCTTCCCAAGTCCTCCCTTGGAGGACAGTGTGTCTCAGGAGACTGGTAGGCACATGCATTAGCTCTTGGGGGTTTTGTTACACATGGGCTTCTCCCATTAGAGACACAGCTGTGAGGCTTGAGAGTCAGAAAATGGAGCCCGTGGAGGATGTTGGGAATGAATTCCCAGGCCTTTTTTTGGGTCCCTGCTTAGCTTAGGATGGGTTCCCTCCACCCCACCTAGATGACACCATTGGAGGGGCTGGAGTTCTGGCTCCTGACATTCATTACATCAGATGTTACTCAACATGGCTGCACATGGATCCTCTCTACTTTATCTACCTCAGAGAGTCCCCGGACCCACGTGACCCACCACCCCCTTTCCAACCATTATGTGACCCTAAAGTGCTGGGCACTGGGTTTCTACCCTGCGGAGATCACTCTGACCTGGCTGCGGGATGGAGAGGAACAGACCCAGGAAATGGAGCTGGTGGAGACCAGGCCTGCAGGAGATGGAAGCTTCCAGAAGTGGGCAGCTGTGGTGGTGCCTTCTGGGGAGGAGCAGAGATACACATGCCATGTGCAGCATGAGGGGCTGCCTGAGCCCCTCAGCCTGACATGGGGTAAGCAGGGCTGAGGGCACAGAGCACAGCTGTGCTCAGAGACAGCAGGAGGCATGTGCAGCTCTCAGCAGGTAAGGACTGAGAGCTGGGCTCACAGCCCTCATCCTCTTTTCCCTTCTCTTCCCAGAGCCGCCTGCTCAGCCCACCATTCCCAACACTGGAATTGTCATTGGCGTGGGCATCTTTGCAGTTCTGGTTATTGTAGCTGTGGTGGTTTTTGTGCTGTGGAGGAAGAGGACTGGAGGTAGGAAGGTGGAGGTCTGAGTTCCTGGGCCACTTGTGGGTTTCAGGCCCCAGGCAGAAGTGTGAGCTGCACTCCTAATGGGAAGTTGCAGCACACTCAGGGCCTTCCCCAGCCTGACAGCTCCTCTTCTGTAAATCACCTGCAAAACAAAGGACATAAAATTCCCCCTCCTGAGGGTGGTGATGGGAACTGATTGCAGCACTCAGGCCCACAGGGACTCAGGTGCCCACTGAGGTCACACTCCAGGAGGTCCTGGGGTCTCTCTTCCCAACTGTTGCACTCCTCTCTCCTGATGCTTCTTTGGTTCTATGGTCACATTTCTAGAAACTTCCCATGAGGTCAAGGCTAGGGGTTCATCCAGGCCCTCCTGGCACTGCTTGTGTCCTGCCTCTCACATGGTGTTTCTCCTACAGGTGACAAGAGAGAAGGCTATGATAAGGCTGCAAGTGAGTGCCATGGGGGAGGAGGTGACCTTTGTTGTGGTGCAGACAGGATCTGTGGGAGCTCCTGCACCCCGGAATTCCTCCAGTGACGCCTGTGTTCTCTAACCAGTTCCTCTCTTCCACCACAGGAGACGACAGTGACCAGGGTTCTGATGCTTCCCTCAGAGCTCAAAAAGGTGACAACTGGAGACCCTAATTGGGGGGCAGGGCTGAGGCGCAGGGAAGGCTGTGTTGTAGTTGCAGGGTCTGTGCATTGGGTGTTAGTGGCCTGCTCAGAGTGTGTCGCTAACAGTGACTGATCTGCATTGTTGTGCTTGTTCTTTTCTCCTGCAGTGTGACACAGCTGCTTTGTGTGGTCTGAGAGGCACAGCATTTGTTCCTGCCTCTCCTCCTCCCTCCTGGGACATCATGAGCTCCTGACTTCTCTTCCTGTACCTGGGTTCTGACCGTGTCCAGGCTTCTGTGTGCTGTTAGCATCCTGTGAGGAACTGAGGAGCCAGCCCAGCCCTGAGCACCAGGACCCTCCCCACACTGACCTGGGTCTCTTTCCCCTCCAGCTGCTGCTCCAGCAGAGGCGGGGCCAGGGCTTCCCCATCCCTGACTTCACTTTCCCTTGCTCTGAACTGCAGCTGCTTGCTTCCCCACTGATACAGAGAATGTGGATGTGGGTCTGCGATTCAAAAAGTTGTCATGGAAAATGGTTGAATAAATCACTAAATGACTCCAAAAGTTGAGGTAGAAAATAAAACATGATTAACTTCCAAAATCATCATGTTTGCTGATCTGTGTTGTGGGCGGGGCCAGGGTTAGCCTGAGAACAGGCAGGTTTGGATAGGAGCTCAGTCCATTCTGGACTGTCATGTATTCAGTCCTCACCTGGGTTGTCTTCCCTGCTCCTCAGTTGTGTTGTTTTCCTAGAACCTTCTCCATGAGCACCTATGATCAGAGGGGCTTTTCCTTGGTCTAGGACACAGCACAGACTGTGCAGGTGAGACTAGGCTCAGGCCTGAGTCCTCTACTAAGGCTCCATCTGTTCGTCTCCATACTTACGTCCCTTCTTGTCATCCTGCATGAGCTGGTGTCTTGTTGGTCTTCTGGGTGTCCTGTGACAGCAGCAGGGGGTGTGTTCCTGTCACTACCTCCCAAAGCACAAGGCAGCCTTGCACAGGGTGTGTGTGGTGAGGAGAAAGGCAATGTGAGGCAGCTTGCTTTCCTTCTAGCACTGCTGCCTCCAGTGTGGTTCTGTGCTGTCCCCAGTGCCCTCAAGGGAGCCACCTATGGGAAGAGCAGAGAGGAGGGATGTCAGGTTTCTCCTGTGAGCTCCCTTCCTGATCCTCTGCATCTTCTCTGCCCACCTTCCCTCCACCTGCCCTCAGCTCTGGTTACTCCCAGCTCTGGTCCCACCCAAATTCCTGGATTGAAGAGCAGAGTCAGGAAGGGGTTATGATCCCATCTTGATTGGCTGAGAGATTATGGAAGTTAGTGGAGTTCATGTCCACATGTGAGTGTCAGGGCATTTCAAGGAGAATGGGTCATGAGGGCTCTGACCTAGAGAGAATGTCATTAGGTGGTACATTTTAAACCTGAACAGAGTCCTGGAAGCTGGTGGACTGTGGTAGTTGGGACTCCACTGTGTGTGGGGTTCCTTGGGGATTGTGTTTTCTCTGCACCCTGTTACTGCCCTGCTCTGCCTCCTGCTGCCACGAGAGGCGCTGTGCTTCCTGCTGTGCCCTGCCTTCCCTCTAAGGCTGACTTGGTCCTTTCCAACCCTGACCAAAACACTCCCTTCTGCTCAGCTTCATTCTCAGAAACAAATTAAGACAGGAATCTCCTGGCAGACAGCAGGGCTTTTGCTCTGTCTGACTACTTAACAATGTGGTTCTTAGGCCTTTAGCTTGGTCTGCAGATTGAATTTGGAATCTCTCAGAAAGTCAAAGGAGGTCAGAACTGTCATGCTTGTGGAGCATGTGTGCCAGCAGAAGAGACAGGTGGCAGGGTGTGTAAGAGAGCAAGGAAGGACCATGACATGCAGGAGGAAGGCAGTGCTGCAGGACCGGTGACATGGTGTGGGCGTGGGGACAGAGCTGACTGTGGTACTGGGTGTTCATCATGACCTGGGAGGGATCTTTTCTGAGTTGTGAAATTCTACAAGAAGATATCTAGAGAAAGTTTTGGTAAACTGGAAGATCTCCTTGTGCAAAGTCCTTACCTCTTGTGTGCACTGCCCAGATCTATTGCTGAGTTGAGCCTTTGAGAAGAGACCTGAAGACAAGATTGACACTTGGGGGATTTTTCTTTGTGTGTATGTGCTAGTACAGGGCTTGAACTCATGGCTTGTGTGCTGTCCCTCAGCTTGTTCTTGGTCAAGGTTACTGTGCTTTTTGAGTCAAAGCTTTCCTTTCTGCTTTTGTGAAATAAGAATTCCCCAGACTTTCCTATCAGTTTCAAGCCATGAGTGGGAGAAGTCTGCCTCCTGAGTAGGTAGGAGTATAGCAGGATCCACACTACCTGACCTAGATAGTGATTTTTTTGTGTGTGTGTCATTCCTTGGGGCTTGAACTCAGGGCTTGGGCACTCAAAGCTTTTATCACTCAAAGTTAATACTCTACCAATTTGAGCCACAACATCACTTCTGGCATGAGCCACTTGCTCTCAGTTGAGATGTATTTATTTATTTTCAGTTTTGGGCTTGAACTCAGGGCCTGGCACTGTCCCTCAGCTTCCTTTGTTCAAGACTAGAATTCCACCCGTTTAACCTTACTGCTACTTCCAGCCTTTTCCATGTGGTTGGAGGTATCAAAGCCAGGGCTTCATGCATGTTGACAAGCATTCTACCACTAAGCCACATTTTCAATCTCTGATATATATATATATATATATATATATTTAAGTCGAAGAAGATGTTTAATGAAGAAGAAGAAAAAAAGGTAGACATACAAATGTCCCAGAGGCCGGGCTCTGGTGGCTCACGCCTGTAATCCTAGCAACTCAGGAGGCTGAGATCTGAGGATTGCAGTGCAAAGCCAGCCCGGGCAGGAGAGACCATGAGACTCCTATCTCCAATAAACTACCATAAAACCAGAAGTGGTGCTGTAGCTCAAGTGGTAGAGCGCTCACCTTGAGCTGAAGAGCTGAGGGACAGGGCCCAGGCCCAGAGTTCAAGCCCCAAGACCGACCAAAAAAAAAAAAAAAAACACAAAAAACCCCCACAAATATCCCGAGTATAGGTTTAATCTATCCAGGCCTGTAGTTTCCAAATGTGACCACAGGATGGCGATATAAGCCCGGCCTTTTTTTTCTTTCTTTCTTTCTTTTTTGTCTGGTCCTGGGGCCTGATCTCTGGGCATGGGCACTGTCCCTCAGCTCTTCAGCTCAAGGCTAGCACTCTTGAGCCACAGTGCAACTTCCGGCTTTTTTTCATTTTGCTTATGTGGTGCTGTGGATTCAAAACCAGGGCCTCAGGCATTCAAAGCAAGGGCTCTACCACTGAGCCAAGTCCAAGTCTTCCCAGACCCAAGTCCAGCTTTTTCGTTGTTGGTTTTTTTGTTTTTTTTTTTTTTAATCAATGTAGAACCATATACATAAGTGCTGAAACCTGGCTCTGGTGGATCATGCCCAGTATCCTAAACACTCAGGAGACTGAGATCTAAGAATTGCTATTCAAAGCCAACCCAGGCAGACACATCTCCATGAGACACATCTCCAATGATCCATAAGAAAACACAAGGTACTGCTGTAGCTCAAAGTAGTACAACACTAGCCTTGAGCAAAAGAGCTCTGAGTTCAAGACTTAAAACAGATGTAAAAAAAAACCCCAAAACCAAACAAACACAACCCTCCCCCCCCCAATAATACTGAGTAGGCAGGAAGATGTCAACTTTGGTACTTGGAAACCTTTGGGTAAATACAGCCCTTTGGAGGCACAGGCCTCTGTTGCTTTG